ATGTATATATATATGTATATGTATACATATATGTGTATGTATATATATGCATACATATACATATATATATTTATGATTCATTTAATGATTGTATAAGAATTATGGGTTGTATTTTTTTCAAAAATAATTCAAAAAATACTTGGAATACATTACATAATGAAGATCCTAAATTCTGAATAACCTAAATAAAAAATAACTTTATTCTACTAAAGTAATAGAATTTTTAAACTTCTGAGTCAAAGAAATGTTTTCCGTCTACCTATCAAGCCTTCACATTCTTCTTTCTCAGATTATTGATATATTCCCAAAAAGAATATTCTAGGGTGCCAAGAGCTAAGAATCAGAGACAAAGTCATGTTCCATCAATGATGGTTCACTATAAAAGAGGTTCCAAAACTTCATGTTAAGTTTCTGGAACCAGAAATAAACAGACAACTTAGATCCAGCAACAGATCACTCACCGCTTTATTCATGACTCAGAAAATGTCTCCAAGATGGAGATACTGTTACCTTTCCTCAGTTTTGCCTTTTGCTGTTTGGCCCCTGACCATGGGTAAGTGATGGGCATAGCAGTTTCTGTCCACATGTTTTTAGGGCCAAATCTAGAAGAAATAAGCACCTGCTTCCATCCACAGAAGGCCCAGAAAAAGTCACGGTGCTCTGTGTTAGATCTTATACTATCCTGAACTAATCACTGGCATATCTTGGGCAGCATACTTCATCAGCAAAGGCAAATGCTGTTTGATATCGATTATATGCAGAATCTAGAAAAATCAAACTCATGATAAGAGAGATCCGATTCGTGGTTGCCAGAGGCAGAGTGTAGAGTGGATGAATGGGACGAAGGTTGTCAAAAGATGTCCATTTCCAGTTATAAGATCATAAATACTGGGGAATATAGTGTACAACATAATCATTATAGCTAAGAATACTATTTTGTTTATTTGCAAGTTTCTAAGAGAGTAGATCTTAAAAGTTCTCACCATAAGGAAAACAATTATAAGTATGTGAGGTAATGGGTGCAAACTTATTATGGTAATCATTTCACAGTAATACATATCTCAAATCATTGCGATGAGTATCTTATAAAATGTTATACCTCAACTGTATCTCAGTAAAAGTGCAAAAATTCATAACAAGAAAAGAGTTTTGGTTATCACCTATTACTCATGATCTTACTGGAGCAGTCAGTCAATGGAATACGCAGCACACACACATACACACACATACACACACACACACACACACACACACACTCTCTCACAAAATCACACAAAAACAAAAAACAACCCTCCAAAACAAACCAAAAAGTGAGATCAACTTCTGAAACAAAAAAAATGACTGTCATTATTTACTTTTTATGAATTGTCAGTCTAATCTAAATCTAATTTAAATACTAGTAGAGTTGCTAAGGGATTATATTTAGGTTGCTGAATTCAAGAGTGAAATACAAAAGCACCAACGGATCTCCTTTATCTTTATAACTATAAAAAAGAGATATTAATGGTAACTAGACTATAAAAAATAATGCTAGAAATAAGTAAGAGTTTTAGCAAAGAATGGTAAAATATTACTGATTGTTATAAAAAAGATCTGAATAAAAATTTGTTTTGAAAAACTTTAGATGTGCAAGAGGTCAGTTTTCCCCTGATTGATCTCTGAATTCAGTGTAAACTTAACTCAGTAAACACATAGAATGCTTCATAAACTTTCCGTAAAGTTCATTTGAGAGGAAAGATGCAGAAGGCTATCTACAAACATTTTATAATAAACAAACATAGTAGGAATTTATACTCTTAAGCTCCAGAGATATAACTGAAGAATCTTATGTGGGAGTTTTTTTCCTGACATTATTTTGTTCTGGCATTGAGAAGAATGAATAGAGAGAAACCTAAAAGCAAGGTGAAACTAATATGTATAATGTGAAAATGTCTCCCATCACATGGAAGTGTGATTCAACGGTAATAGTTGATAAGTTATTTGGCCATGTTAAAATTTACACTTAAGGTATTAATATTCTAAATCTTTAGGGTTACATAGAAAAACTTCATAGGGAGGGTAAGTGATTATTTTGTTACTGTTAATATGCCAGTAGTAATGCCCAGGGACCAAGTTGTTGAGAAGAGTGATTTTGCTTTTAAAATAGACTTTAAAGAGAAAGACAAGGATGTAAGATGTCCAAAATATGCAGACTTGTAAATTGGAAGACTAGGCAAGCATAAAATAATAATGAAGATACTTTCTATCCTTATAGCTTTTTTTTTTTATGTTTATTTTTGAGAGAGAGAATGAGCGCGCAAGTTGGGAAGGGGCAGATGCAGAGGGAGACACAGAATCCGAAGCAGGCTCCACACAGAATCTGAAGCAGGCTCCAGGCTCCTAGCTGTCAGGACAGAGCCCAACACGGGGCTCAAACCCACAAACTGCGAGATCATGACATGAGCCAAAGTCGGTGCTCGCTCAACTGACTGAGACACTCAGGCGCCCCTATTTATATTGCTCTTTGTAATATAAAACAAGACAAGCCGTAACAGCAAAAACTTCCTAACCTTTTGGAAAAAAAGAATTATTATTATTATTTTTAATGTTTATTTATTAGAGAGGGAGGGGGTTGGGGCAGAGAGAGACAGAGACAGAACCCAAAGCAGGCTCCAGCCTCTGAGCTGTCAGCACGAAGCCCAATAAGGAGCTTGAACCCACAGGCTGTGGTATCATGACCTGAGCTGAAGTTGGGACACCTTAACCAACTAAGCCACCTAGGCGCCCCTGGAAAAAGAATTATAATGGAACTTCCCATTGAACTAATCTATAGTATGGGAATGTAGAATATAAAGAGGTAAAAGGAATTGCTGAAATAAGAAACAGTGTGCTCAGGGTCAAAGCTCACAATTTGACCTCTAATGCAATTTTGAAAAGAACAAAAAAAACAAAACAGTGGGATTTAAAAATCTGGAAACATGGTCTTTTAGGGGAAAAAAAAATCACATTTTGCCATTGGGAGAGAACTGCATATGAAACCAATATATATTTATTTATTTTCTAGTTTTGTGCTTATCACATGCTGAACCCTGCAACCAGCAATAAAATCTAAATTGGATGCAAACAGAAAGCCTGAGAAAAAGCAAGTCGATCAGGGAAAAAAAAAAAAAAAAAACACAAAAAAACCCCAAAAACCAGACTGTATAAAAGCAAAACTAAACAAGAGAGGAATAGTCCAGAATTATGTCAAATTCAGCACACAGTTTTCTAGATATTCCAAAAACATTAGTAGCAGCAACCAGGATTTATGTGTATACATAGAGAATATTCTTCCTGTGATAATTTGTAAAAAATCAATCATCCAAAACCAAAAAAAATTTTTTTTTGTTTTTTTTTTTTGTTTTTTACTTAAAAAGCTTGGGTCCTCACTTAAAAATATTTTTTTAAGGGATGCGTGAGTGGCTCAATCAGTTAAATGTCTGACTTGGTCTCAGATCATGATCTCACAGTTTGTGGGTTCAATCCTTGCATCAAGCTCTGTGCTGACAACTAGCTCAGAGCCTGGAGCCTATCTTTAGATTCTAACCCTCTCTCTCTGTCCTTCTGCTACTTGCACTCTATCAAAAATAAATAAAACACATACAAAAAATTTTTTTAAATACCTTTTTTAAGATTTTATATCGTCAGGTAAATATTTACATTTTATTTTATTTTTTAAGTGTTTATATTGAGAGAGAAAGCACACAGGTGTGAGTGCATGAGTGGGGGGAGAAGCAAAGAGCGAGGAGAGAGAGAGAGAATCCCAAGCAGGTCTCGGGCTTGATCTCATGATCACAAGATCATGACCTGAGTCACAATCAAGAGTCAGATGTTTAACCAACTCCGCCACCCAGGCACCCTTTTTCTTATGAAGTAAGAATCTTTAATGCATGCAAATATATCTTACCTAAAGCCTTGCTGTAATAGTCATCCCATTCCGGAAATACAAAATATAAAAACATAATATCAGTCACTATGTACAGTAACCAATTCTCTAGTCTCTGTACAAAAGTCATGCGGTCTGTCAATCCTGATGTGATGCCAGGAACATATGAAGAAGGGATAGGAAGCTGAGCACACAGTCTCTCAATGACATTCCCATAAGAAAATCGAAAAGAGTATATAAATGGAATATTGAGGAGCTCAGCCAACAATTCCCCACAAAAGCTTAAGGGATCAGCTAAACAGATATCAAACTTAGCTGCTTGTAGCCTGCTGAGTAACTCCTTATTTGTGACAGCACTCTCACACATTCTTTTGGCTGTCCTAGAAAACCTGTAGACAAGTTCTGTCAGTTTTCCTTGCATGCTCCACCATGAAAGTTTTGGCAGTTCAAAGGAAACATCATAGAGAATACCATTGAGCTCTTCCATGAGAGTTTCTTTAGTTACTGGAAGTTGAAGGATCTCCACATTAAAGGGAATCTTGGTATGATCAAACAGATAACTTGGTGAAGGTACCAGGACAGTTACCTCATGCCCATGAAGCTGGAGTTGATCCAGGATAACTTTTAAATTAATCCAGTGACTAAAATCCAAGGGCCACACAAGTATTTTCCCAGTTCTTCCAGAGTCGAAGAAATATAGATGTAGCATGAAAAGAACCCAGAAACCTTTTACAGTCCTCATGATCAACTCTTGCTCTAACTAAACCGAGGCTTAAACCAAGTTCGTGAAGTTCACAATCCCACAGATCTCTTTCATGACTTTCTCAATTTATAGTAGGTTGAGCTGAACTTTGGAGTACATAGTTGGTTTTACCAAATGCAGCTGTTTTGTTTTAAAAAAAAATCAATACAGTTGGGGCGCCTGGGTGGCTCAGTCGGTTAGGCATCCAACTTTGGCTCAGGTCATGGTCTAGTGATTCGTGAATTTGAGCCATGCGTCAGGCTCTGTGCTGACCCCTCAGAGCCTGGAGCCCACTTCAGATTCTGTGTCTCCCTCTCTCTGCCCCTCCTCCACTCGTGCGAGCGCGTGTTCTCTCTCTCCCTCCCCCTCAAAAATAAACAAACATTAAAAAAATGTTTTTAATCAGTACAAACAACGAAATGAGTTAGGAAGAAAATAGAATGAGAGTTTTAAAACTTCTTTTAGAGGATATGAAAACAAAAAGGCTTAAACACAAATTGAGAATAAATTCTAAATGATGTTAAAATCCATCACCATGTGAAATATATTCAATTAAGACTGGGTATTTTGGTAACTTTTTCTCTGGTATCTTAAGTTCCTTTGAACAGAATGGTCTGTGTAGTATTTTTCTTACGGACAACTCTGCTAGGAATTCTAGAGGAAAGAGGTTATCACCTACTTCCAGAAGCAGAGTATATGTGCCAGAGGCATTAGGGCAGGGAGAAAATTTAAATCCAAATGTTCTCATGCTGAATTCAGTGCCCTTTCTGCCAAATCACATCTATCTTTAAGAGAAAAAAATATTTTTTTTCTTTTGCTATTACTTCATATATGAATTCAAGTTCTGATTCTAGATCAGATTCATATTATGTTGAAAAGAAACAGAATAAAGGCAAGTCATGAAGAAGATACCTTAATAATCTTATTCTTCCTTCCAGCACATTCAATTCTATTTTCTTAACTTTCTTGTTCTAACAAACTTTTTACAAAGTAAAATTCTATTTTCTTTTTTTTTGCTTGGATCCCTACACCTGGAAACCACCACCCCATGTAGAAATGGGTCCAATGATATTTAGGACAGTAACTTTATCAATAATCCTTTTGCTTAAAAAGTTGATTTTAGGGGCGCCTGGGTGGCTCAGTCGGTTGAGTCTGACCTCGGCTCAGGTCATGATTTCACAGTCCATGGATTCGAGCCCCACATGGGACCCTGTGCTGACAGCTCAGAGCCTGAGACTGCTTTCGATTCTGTGTCTCCCTCTCTCTCTGCCCCTTCCCTACTTGTGCTCTGTCTCTCTTTCTCTCCCTCTCAAAAAAATAAAAAAATTTTTTCTTAAAAAAAATTGATTTTATACAAGGAATTAGTCAGTAAGAAATATATCATAATAACATTATCATTTCCAATATCATATCTGACTAATAAAAAACAGGATTGAGCAATTATTCAATTGATCACCGTATCTATAAGTTCTACTCCCAAGTTATATATTGATCTGTTCTTCTCTGTCAGTTGTTACTATCACTTTAAAGCTAGCCATTTTCATATCCAACTTGGATTTACTGTAATAGTTTTCTAACATCCCTACTTTCATTTTTACACTCTCATTACCCGCTTTATACAAAGAAACTTTCCTGACTTGCAAAAAGTTTATTTCAGAGAATGTGTCAGTCTTGGGTAAAATATGTTAACTCTCTTTTTCGTATATGTTAAAATCTGTATTCTCTGAAATGGACCCATGAATCCTGACTGATATTCTAATCTTATGTTATCCACATCAGTTTTCTTTGAGCTTTTTGATTATTAGCAATTGTTTTCTGAAGTGATATCAGCAAGAATTATGGACTCCATCAGGAAGCCTGCCTACCAGCTTTTGGGGACATCTCATCTTCACACCTCCCTTCCCCAGCTAGGCCCACAGTTGTCCCCAACACTGCATGTACCTCACTCCTATTAGCTTGATAGCTCAAGGTGCATGACCCCATTGTGGTGAGACTAAGCCTTTGTAGAAAGCTTTTGGGCACGAGAAAAAGGCTGGCCTGAATCTGTGGGATTGGGAGAGTTTACACAAACTTAAACATCTCAGGGCTCTGCCCTAGGGAAAATGAATGGGAAGCTCTCAACACTAGGTCTGTTTTTGTGGGTTAGGATAAGTCATACAATCTGAAGACATCCCCTCAAGAGGGAACAAGAAGTAAGGAGCAGACATATCCATAGAAAAGGACTGAGAAGGCTAGTTGGACTGACGGGTGAAGGTGTTTTTTTTCCCCCAGAGCCAGTCAGCAAACCCTGGAGGGAATGATCACTTCTTTAATGTGAAAACTGACACAAGACTTCAAGGAACAAGAAAAGTCAAGGAAATATGACACCACCAAAGAACACAAAGAAATGCAAATCTGTGAATTGCCTGCAAAAATTACAAATTAGATTGTTCTAAGGAAGCAGAGTAAGCTTAAGAGAACACAGAAAAATCAATGAAATCAGAAAAACAATATATGTACACAATGGGAGTTTCAGTACAGATAGAAATCATAAAAAAATGAGCCAAAGATAAAGTGAGAAAAAAATTAAAGAGGATATTTTGCTTATATGAGGACCAAACAAACAGAAATATTGGGTCTGAAGAATATAATGAATGAAATGAAAAAATGAATACAGATCATCAACAGCATACTCTATGAAGCAGAAGAATCTGTGAACTCAAATACAAGTTATTGAGATATTGGAGGAGCCAAGATGGCAGAACAGCATGAAAGTTTTTTGTGTGT